CAAACTCAGTAGCAGTCGTCGATGTCAATAATGACACCAAACCCGATATAGTCACCGCTAACTATGGTGCAAATACTGTCAGTGTTCTTCTTAATACAGGTACTGGGACATTTTCTGCTCACACTACTTATGCAACTGGCACCAGTCCAAACTCAGTAGCAGTAGTCGATCTCAATAATGATAACAAACCAGATATAGTCAGCGCTAACTCTGGTGTAAATACTGTCAGCGTTCTTCTTAATACAGGTACTGGGACATTTTCTGCTCAAACTACTTATACAACTGGCACCAAGCCACAGTCAGTGGCAGTCGTCGATGTCAATAATGACAACAAACCAGATATAGTCACCGCTAACTATGGTGCAAATACTGTCAGTGTTCTTTTTAATACAGGTACTGGGACATTTTCTGCTCAAACTACTTATGCAACTGGCACCAATCCAAACTCAGTAGCAGTCGTCGATGTCAATAATGATAACAAACCCGATATAGTCACCGCTAACTATGGTGTAAATACTGTCAGTGTTCTTCTTAATACAGGTACTGGGACATTTTCTGCTCAAACTACTTATGCAACTGGCACCAAGCCACAGTCAGTGGCAGTCGTCGATGTCAATAATGATAACAAACCAGATATAGTCACCGCTAACTATGGTGCAAATGCTGTCAGTGTTCTTCTTAATACAGGTACTGGGACATTTTCCGCTCAAACTACTTATGCAACTGGCAGCAGTCCAATCTCAGTGGCAGTCGTCGATGTTAATAATGACACCAAACCCGATATAGTCAGCGCTAACTCTGGTGTAAATACTGTCAGCGTTCTTCTTAATACAGGTACTGGGACATTTTCTGCTCAAACTACTTATGCAACTGGCACCAGTCCACAGTCAGTGGCAGTCGTCGATGTTAATAATGACAACAAACCCGATATAGTCACCGCTAACTATGATGCAAGTACTGTCAGTGTTCTTCTTAATACAGGTACTGGGACATTTTCTGCTCAAACTACTTATGCAACTAGCAAAGGTCCAATCTCAGTGGCACTCGTCGATGTCAATAATGACAACAAACCAGATATAGTCACCGCTAACTATGGTGCAAACAATGTGAGTGTTCTTTTTAATACAGGTACTGGGACATTTTCTGCTCAAACTACTTATGCAACTGGCAGTTATCCACGATCCGTCGCAGTCGTCAATATGAATAATGACACCAAACCCGATATAGTCACCGCTAACTATGGTGCAAATACTGTCAGTGCTCTTCTTAATACAGGTACTGGGACATTTTCCGCTCAAACTACTTATGCAACTGGCACCAATCCATACTCAGTAGAAGTCGTCGATGTCAATAATGATAACAAACCCGATATAGTCAGCGCTAACTCTGGTGTAAATACTGTCAGTGTTCTTCTTAATACAGGTACTGGGACATTTTCTGCTCAAACTACTTATGCAACTGGCACCAGTCCAATTTCAGTGGCAGTCGTCGATGTCAATAATGACAACAAACCAGATATAGTCACCGCTAACGCTGGTGCAAACGGAGTCGGCGTTAGCGTACACTGCTAAGGGCAGATGGCGTATTCTTAGGGGTGATAGTTTCAGTAACACTTTCGAATAGATGACACTATTCGCTGATGACCCGTGCTATATGCTAATGGAAAAAGTTTTAGCAAGAAAAAACTTTTTTTAGTTTTCAAGAAATAAATGATGCTTAACATATGTCTGGCGATGGGGGACATTTTATACATTGAGATTGCTTTGAGTAAAGTTTTGCCCCTTTCCGTGCGTGGAAACAGTCGAAGGTAAGTCCATACGAAACAGATTACTCTGCAAATTTCAACTCTTGCTTTTGAGCAATCGAGGGTGAGATATTACTACCATGGTCGATTTCGAACCTTTCATAGTTCGTTTTCAAATGGTTGTAAAGTTAAAAATGATCAAAAGACATTATTTTGATTAAAATAAGATCAAATAATCAAATCTAAGCTAAATACACTGTTATACAGCAAAAATCAGCTGTAATACCTAATTTCACAGTATAATGGTATTTTATCACTAGCAGTGTGAGTAGTAACTGCCATGGCCGGTTTCGAACCTATCAAAGTTCGGTATCAAATGGCAAAAAATCTAAATTCTGATTTTATATCATTAATTCTTGAGGGGTGAGTAGAGCTGCCATGACTAGTTTGATCTTCTAGGTGGGTGTGATGATGTGGGTGAGTTTGAAAATAGGTATAAAAGAATCGATAATTAGAAATCTTTCCATCTGTTCACGATTGTATCGATGTCAAGTTATTCAAAGGAAACCACAGAGATATGTTTTAACAAATACGAACAATTTGTTAAAGAAGATCATGAAATCAAAGTAGGACTCGAACTCACATCTTCCGATAACCGGTGTGAACATGTTGGTTGAAGCCTTTGTTTGACTTCTATCCTTTTTGCGTCACGGTAGGACCCTTCTCACTTTTCGTTTGGTTTGAATGTTGCTCATGACTGCTATCTGTCGTTGGTCTATCTCCGGTTTCGACCGTGCTCACTGGTCTCATCAGATGGCTTTTTTTGTTAATGACACTATTGTTTTGTTCATGATCTGCCTTTCTAACACTTTAGTGTCAAGTTTCGAGAGCTACCATGACCGGCTGTTCATTGGACTGCTTTATTGAGATATCTAACTGAGGCTTGCTGACTTTGACTGTAGGGTAATAGGTATCATTCGTATATTATGTTTTATGGAAATCATCGGACGACGTTTGGAAGGATAAGGATCCTTAGACAACTGCTATTTTAGTGTAAGTCTCACCACGGATGAACGCCGGTCGACTGTTTTCTAAGTCCATGTTAGCGTTGTCTTCACCTGATATGGTACTCACCATAAATAAATATAATCTGTAGAACGACGAGCTTGAACATTGATGTCAAGGGATATGTACACGTTTTCTCATGAAATAGCTAATCACAGTTATCACGAGTTCGCTTTCTCACATACTATTCGAGTTTGATGGTCGACGCATATGAACCATGCTTTTACAGTATTTGTCAAAACAAAGAAAAGTTCGATTTATTTCTCCTGTTTAAATGACAAAAGACAGACAAAAAGAATGACACTAAGTGGAGCTTGCTCTTCCAGTTTTCATGCGGGCCAAGAGTGTAACCAATCACGCTACATCTTTCGAACAGGTCACCAATTGTACACAATGATGATGTCCTTCTTTGTTTCCCTTTCTCTCTCATTGTTGTTACTCTCTCCTCGAAAAGAGGAGAGGCACACTGTAAAAAAAAAGAGTATTTTCATGAACTCTTGCCCTTAAATTTTTTTTACAACAACGCTTTAAGGATATCTTCTGTTGGAATAAACTGGTGAGAGGTTTATTGTTTAGTGGGTATATGAATACAAGGGTTCTTGAAAAACATAAGGGAAGAATAAGCCGTTTAATGGTTTATTAACCTACGTTTATGCCAAAAAACGGTTCTTTAATCTACACTTCTAAGTAGATGGTTCTATGGTAACTGAAAAGCCGTTTATTATTCTACAAGCATGACTTAATAGTTTCTTTGCAATACCGTTAGGGTTTGTTATTCTACGAGCAAAGGTAGAGTCTCGAACGTTACCTTTAAACTGGTATTTTATACTACGTTTGCAGATGAAAGGTTTATGATTCTGCAACATAAGGTTAATTTACATACGTTTAGAAGAGAAGGATTGATTCTTCGACGACAGAACTTATGAACTGTATGATGAATCGAGAGAGATTTTTTACTAAACGTCTTTAGGTTATATTATTTTACGCACATACGACAACCATTGACCATCCTACGATAGCACCATAGATGATCACACACATCCAACAAAAAGGTTGATCATCCTACTATATCACCGTTTAGGTGACATACGTCGAACAACAGGATAGATTAATCTACGACATCACCGTTTATTATCATTCCAATATAAAAGAAGGGTTGATCATTCTACGGTGGTACCGCTTATAATCATCCGTCTTTAGATGAAGGATAGATTAATCTATGATATTAGGGTTTATGATCATCCTAATGTAAAAGAAGGATTGACCATTCTACGATATTACCACAGATGATCATGCATGTCCGTACATGTCGAATGAAAGGATTGATTATTCTACCGTAGCACCGTTTTATAATCATTCATCTGTAAATGAAGGGTTGATTATTCAAAACTTTAAGTAATTGAATATGTATTAGAAATGCAAATTGAGCATTGTAGAATGATAAGCTATGTCTAGATCTAGATGTAGGTCATGATATAATGACATGAATGATTAGATTTTTCAAGATCATATAAATAAAGTAGATCAGTGAAAGCTATTGATAAAATATTCCATGGTTACCGAAGAGTCCATGAAAACATTTTCTTTAGATCTCTAATATAATATCGATAAAATATATCATATATATTTGTTATCTCATGTTTTGTTTTACAGATCGAATCGGATGCGATATAAGTGATGCGTTGTTAGAATCATTTTGATATGATAAATTGATGACTGTATATNTTACCATTAGAAATATACGGACATATCTGAAAAAGACAATAATGCTCTGATTTTCTATACTATTTGATATTACTTCAGTTCATATCGAAATAATAGAATCTGGATACGATCTGTTGTTTGATCTTATGTAACATTTATTCTAAGATCTATTTAGAATCTATTTACTCAAATATTTTGTCAATAATTTTGGAGTGAAACAAGACGGATAGCTTCGACTATTACGATTAGAAAGCAATGAGGGACATCCACAGACTGAGTTATTATATATTTTTCTAGATGTTATTAACTATTTCTTCAATAATTGTTTCCAATATTAAAAAACATTTCTTGTCATATAAACTACCAACAGAAAGATTACTTCTGACCTTACCTACGGTATCTATGATTTCTGAATAACTGCTACAGTACTTCTCCCTAATAACGACAATGAAATGAAACTTGATTTTGTTTTTATTCGCGTTCATCTATTTTATGACCGATTTCAAGCAAATTTATACTTGGGGTATCTTTGGATCACGCTCTTTCAGCTGATATATTTCCGATCCCTTCTCTCATGTTTTCGTGGAGAAATCATTGGTCTACGATCGTGATGTCTTGCTGCCGTTATTAAGTGCTACTTGCGTAATAACGATATCCAGCTAAATTTACGCCCTAATAGCGACACTCAAGCAAAATCTATGCTAAAAATGTAGTTTTTTCAGGAAAAAGTATTTTTGGAAATTTTCCATTAGAAATCGAAGGCCGGTTCCTGAGTCAACTTTGAAGATCGTCTTAAGTTCTACTTATATCTATCAGTTCAGAACGATTAGATGCTGCCATAAGAAAATCGTAGAATCAGTGGAAATTATTTCGGATCGATGGAAAAATTAGGTGACCTTTATAACGACGCTCAGCAAAAATTTTCGCCCTAATTACGGCACTCGCTTATTTTTTGGGCCTTAACAGTGACCGTAGGCTCATTTTTCGATCTCATAACGACACTCAGCTAATTTCTGTCCTTAATCTTGACGCATTACCATACGAAGTTGACAGATTCTTCACCAACTATAACGAGAATCATTGCGACAGTGAAAAATGAGCCTACGGTCGTTGTTAGGATACGAAAATAAGTGAGTGCTGTAGTTAGGGCGTAAATTTAGCTGGATGTCGTTATTACGCAAGTAGCACTTAATAACGGCAGCAAGACATCACGATCGTAGACCAATGATTTCTCCATGAAAACATATGAGAAAAGGGATCGGAAATACATCAGCTTAAAGAGCGTCATCCAAAGATTCCCCAAATATAAATTTGCTTGAAATCGGTCATAAAATAGATGAACGCGAATAAAAATGAAATCAAGTTTCATTTCAGTGTCGTTATTAGGGNTGAGCAGAAAATGTCCCAGTACCTGTATTAAGAAGAACACTGACAGTATTTGCACCATAGTTAGCGGTGACTATATCGGGTTTGGTGTCATTATTGACATCGACGACTGCTACTGAGTTTGGATTGGTGCCAGTTGCATAAGTAGTTTGAGCAGAAAATGTCCCAGTACCTGTATTAAGAAGAACACTGACAGTAGTTGCATCATAGTTAGCGGTGACTATATCGGGTTTGTTATCATTATTAACATCGACGACTGCCACTGAGATTGGACTGCTCCCAGTTGCATAAGCAAGTGCAGTGACGAACGTGTTGTTAGACACTATAAATGAAAGAATCTTTCTATTAGCTTAAAATATGTGGAAATGAGCATGCTTCAGAGGTGTTGGGTGCATTTGTGAGTGTTTTAGAATTTTCCTCGTCTCATCATAGGTGAAAGCTCGTTTACATTCAATTATAAAACTAAATGATCGGATAACGTATGAGTAAAGTTAGCTTTTTAGAACTCTCAGTGTCCTTCAGGTTATGTCATCACTAGTTGAAATATGGAGTCTCAAAAGTCCGGTTTTTTATCTGTAGTGAATAAACACTTCTGGCATTGATAAGCATTGGCATGATGTGGAGCTGTAATCGATTGAGTTGTGTCACTGAAACTTAATTGAACGAAACGCTACAGTCTGTTTCACGGACATACGCAGCCCGAATTACGGTTTAAGATTGGTTGTAGACGTCGAACTTGGCAAAGATCGACAAGTCAGGAAATCGCCTGCATGAGCGGGGTGAAAGTAGAAATGGTTGTGAGATGTAAGACTGAAGCTGGGATGTTGTGAAAGCGTCCATTGCTTCTCAGTGCTAATCTCTTACTATAAAATCATCGGCACACTCGTCTGCTGCTGTTACGAAATACCATCACGCCGTTATGAAAAATGTTTTAGTTTAGCTTTGGTTGTAAGATTCATAGTCTTCGTGTAAAAATGAGCAACATGTGATAACAGCTTTGGTGACGTTTTTTCTGTGCCACTATATCAAAGTCGTGTAAATCGTCGAATTAAGAATGATTCTAACTATACTCTCATATAAATGTTCGAAACACAAGAGAAATTCTAAAACCTATCGCCAGGCCTATTGACAATTTCATCATGAATTAAGAAGATTTTCTGAATGTGTTGTAAATAGTCGCCTATGAATGCGAACACATTTTTTGTCTGTCTTGCGCATCACAATAAAGCGATAAGACTCCTTAATTGGTTTTAAAAATTTACTGTTTGATTAGATTGATATTTAGAATGAATCGAATGGTGTTTTTTCGAATAACTATTTGCACGTTGTTTCGGACTAGTAAGTAACAAGCCAAAACGAAACAGTGCTAGCTCTACCCAGCTTAGTTTGGATGAACTATACGTTACTTATCTGAGGAGATGGCGATAGAGCAGCGAATATTAGAAAGCCATAGTAGCGTAGAGAAAAGGAAATTCATCGACAACTTTGTTGTGCGACCACGATTAGTTAACTCCACAATCTGCTTGTTCGTGAGTTATGAACATGATGACAGATTAATCTTCTGCATCCAAACAAAATCTCATCTGCGGATTATGCGCATCTTGCTCACTCCCATTATGATTTTCATGCACTATGTTCATCTACAGTCGATATATAAAACTCATGAGGTTCATTTGAGAAAGCGGAGCACTTTTACAGATACTTAACGAGATAATCATCAGAAATGAGTGGCAGCATATTTCACTTTGGATCTTGTAACGATAGTGATATCGTTCATCTCTTTCTGTTCTTTATCCTCTCACCTCTATATCATACTATCTCCGGGTCATATCTCTCTTTCGTCTTCTCTATATAAGCGCGTGTCTTATTGTGAAAGAGATACATTCTGGTCATGTAGAGTAGTCAATAAACATCTATACCGTGAGAAGCGGTCAACTACTCAACCAGTTTGTCATTACAGATCTGTTACATAGATAAGTCCTAGCTGAGTATGAAAAATTGAGAAAAAATATGTTCATGGTTTTTCCTATAAATTTATGCGCGCCTCACTGAAGTTTCAGCTTACAATATTCAACCTACCCAAACATTAAATGACTATACGACAAGAATAAGGTTTATCATCGGATACTTCGCTTTGGTAAAAGTTTCCATATTTCATGAAACGTAAAATAGGCTCATGCCTAGTTTAAAAGTCTGATTTTGAAGATATTCGAATTACCATTAGAAATATACGGGCATATCTGAAAAAGACAATAATGCTCTGATTTTCTATGCTATTTTATATTACTTCAATTCATATCGAAATAATAGAATTTGGATACAATCTGTTGTTTGATCTTATGTAACATTTATTCTAAGATCTATTTAGAATCTATTTAGTCAAATATTTTGTCAATAACTTTGGAGTGAAATAAGACGGATAGCTTCGACTATTACGATCAGAAAGCAATGAGGGACATCCACAGACTGAGTTATTATATATTTTTCTAGATGTTATCAACTATTTCTTCAATAATTGTTTCCAATATTAAAAAACACTTCTTGTCATATAAACTACCAACAGAAAGACTACTTCTGACCTTACCTACGGTATCTATGATTTCTGAATAACTGCTACAGTACTTCTCCCTAATAACGACAATGAAATGAAGCTTGATTTCATTTTTATTCGCGTTCATCTATTTTATGACCGGTTTCAAGCAAATTTATATTTGGGGGATCTCTGGATCACGCTCTTTCAGCTGATGTATTTCCGATCCCTTTTCTCATATGTTTTCGTGGAGAAATCATTGGTCTACGATCGTGATGTCTTGCTGCCGTTATTAAGTGCTACTTGCGTAATAACGGGATCCAGCTAAATTTACGCCCTAATAGCGACGCTTAAGCAAAATGTATGCTAAAAATGTAGTTTTTTCAGGAAAAAGTATTTTTGGAAATTTTCCATTAGAAATCGAAGGCCGGTTCCTGAGTCAACTTTGAAGATCGTCTTAAGTTCTACTTATATCTATCAGTTCAGAACGATTGGATGCTGCCACAAAAAAATCCTAGAATCAGTCGAAATTATTTCGGGTCGATGGAAAAAATAGGTGACCCTTATAACGACGCTCAGCAAAATTTTCGCCCTAATTACGGCACTCGCTTATTTTTGGGCCTTAACAATGACCGTAGGCTCATTTTTCGATCTCATAACGACACTCAGCTAATTTCTGTCCTAAATTTTGACGCATTACCATACGAAGTTGACAGATTCTTCACCAACTGTAACGAGAATCATTGCGACGGTGAAAAATGAGCCTACGGTCGTTGTTAAGGCCCAAAAATAAGTGAGTGCTGTAGTTAGGGCGTAAATTTAGCTGGATGTCGTTATTACAGAAGTAACACTTAATAACGGCAGCAAGACATCACGATCGTAGGCCAATGATTTCTCCGCGAAAACATATGAGAAAAGGGATCGGAAATACCTCATTCGAAAGAGCGTCATCCAAAGATTCCCCAAATATAAATTTGTTTGAAATCGGTCATAAAATAGATTAACGCGAATAAAAACGAAATCAAGTTTCATTTCAGTGTCGTTGTTAGCGAGAAGTACTGTAACATATATGTAAGTTTCCCAAGGTTTTATCGGTTTTATAGAGACGATTTGAATACATACATGACCATTGAGACCTCATTGCAAATACTTTACAGAGTAAATTGGTTTTGAAAGGGAACTAATGAAATCTTCAAGAGACCACCATGCAGATGAGTCTAAAATATTCGATCGTGTGCATCGTCATTGCTACTATCTACCGATGAGTACTATGCTATTGTATCTTATTTGTATTATAGGTTATTGATCTAATCTCCACGCACTGGATATCAGTACCAGTATCGCGGGATAGATGCCACTAAGACCTCTACTGAATATCGATTTCTATCGTCAGCTTTCGATGTATGTGTGTACAACAGGTATTTCATTCAGGATTTTTTTTCTCATATCATACAACTTAGGTGAAAGTTGATGAAAAATAATACACAGTATATGATGTTTACACAGAAATATTTTATGCGAGCATTATGGGAACCTCAGTTTATACATACTATTGCAAAGCGTCATCCTGACGAGATTTGACTTGTGTATAGTTTTTCGACGATTCTTCTCCCGGCGTAGAAAAAAGAAAAGCTAGCGATTACCATCAGTTAAGCTATCTTCAATACGCTCTTTAAAGATTGTCGAATGTCGTGAAGATATCCACGATTTTCTCATTTTTGCAATACAGTTGAATGCCTGCACTGACAACGCGCAACTTTAATTCTAGATCTGATGCTAGTTCAGATTGTATTTGAAATAGACTTGAAGTGAAATTTATAATTAGAGTTGCTCATTTCCGATATGTAAAACAGAATATTGTTGCTGTGACAGATGCAAAACTTTCAAGTACGTGTCTTTGTACATTTCATGCCGTTTCTTAATCCGAGAACATCGTATGAATCGTTATTAAACGAAGCAATAAAATCGCATCTACGAAAGTCGCTATTTTCTGCAGTAAGCATAGTCAAATTGATTGTAAAATGAGGAAACAATTATAGACGTAATAACAAAATGCTGTAAATCCGGAGATATTTGGCCGTCGTAGTCAAGATTATTATGAATTTTTCTCTTAATAACTTATATAAGATATGTTAAAACATTATCGGAGTGAGCCTTCTGTTATTCTAAATCTTACTAGAGATCACTGCAACCGAAAATTAACGAGATCGTATATCACCCAGCTTACCTCAGTGGAAAAAACTTTCCGTGTTACTCAGTACTTTTAACTGCAGTATGTGCATAATGATAGTCCAGGATCTCTATTTCTGTGATTACTTCCTCGTCAAGTTCTTCAAAACTTACTTCGGCTTTTTAAGGATTAATCAGTGTTTCTGCGAACAAAAACAAGAGTTTTTTTCTATCATTTTTAGCGATGGAAATGCGTGAAGACAGGGTAAAATACTGTTTCTATGCTATGACAAACTTAAAAACATCGCGCGAATGTCGAAAATGAATTTTGTTCCCTAGAAAGCGTTTCAAATTAATAATTATAGAAAAATTGAAAGCATTAGAAGACCTCTGAGAAATTTCATATGTATGACGGTTCAGAAGACCCTGATCTTCTATTGTGTAAGGGACTTATGATAACCTATCGTTCAGCGCAAAGAAAACGATCATTATTTCGTTTGTTACGTACTACAAACGGGTGCATTTGTTGATATCGAGGTTGTTGAGGCCGAACTAGTTGATGTTGAGCTTGATGTTGTTGATGNTAGAAAAATTGAAAGCATTAGAAGACCTCTGAGAAATTTCATATGTATGACGGTTCAGAAGACCCTGATCTTCTATTGTGTAAGGGACTTATGATAACCTATCGTTCAGCGCAAAGAAAACGATCATTATTTCGTTTGTTACGTACTACAAACGGGTGCATTTGTTGATATCGAGGTTGTTGAGGCCGAACTAGTTGATGTTGAGCTTGATGTTGTTGATGCCGAACTAGTTGATGTTGAGCTTGATGTTGTTGATGTTGAGGTCGAACTTGTTGAGGTCGAGCTTGATGTTGTTGATGTTGAGGTCGAACTTGTTGAGGTCGAGCTTGATGTTGTTGATGTTGAGGTCGAACTTGTTGAGGTCGAGCTTGATGTTGTTGATGTTGAGGTCGAACTTGTTGAGGTCGAGCTTGATGTTGTTGATGTTGAGCTTGAGGTTGTTGATGGCCTGGTTGATTCTTTTTTGTATGAAAAATAAACATCAAAATGAGAAGAAAGGATTCAACAAGGCATAATTTCAAATTGGTATTGTTTTTTCTGGACACTATGAATATCTCTCACTTTTAATGAATAACGGTAACTTCTCATGTTTACCTTGATGTCTTCTAATTCTCCCTTTCTACAAGAATGTGGGTGCAGATTAGGATAACGACAACACCTATCCACACGCATACTGCACTTAGAGTATAGAGCGTGGAAGTCATTTTCTTGCAGGTCAAAATAGTTGTTTCACATGGTATCAGTTTTAAGTGTACTCATGAAAAATGTATTGTCCTAGTCTATGGAGTGTAATGAAATCTATTTGTCTCGTAAAACGAGAATAAATAATCCGTGAAAATATAGTTCTAGTAAAAAATAAAACAGCGAAAACGATTTGGAAATAAGTGGCGTGGATTTCATCAAGGCCAAAATAGAGATCAAATTGCAATCTTCTATTTCCCATTTGTCAACAGACGTAGTGTGGCGAGCTGGAGGTGTTTGATGTTAATGACCACAAACTCCTATATCTTTTGTAAACTTTTCGTCCGCCAGTTTTCTAGATTGTACTCAGATCTAGTTCTACACAAGCTTTTTTGAAGGTTTGACATGTCTACAATAACCTTCATCCCACGGAAAAAAATCTCGAAAAAACTGAAATTTCGAAATATTTATATGGCGAAATTGAGGGTGAGAGTGAGCGTAAGAGTGTGGGTGAGGGGTGAGGGTGAGCATGAAGGTACCAAAACATTCAATATTCTACATTTTCTGTTTCGATATTTGCTTTTCGGAATCATGCTTTTTCGAGATTTTTTTTAGAGTTTCTTTTATTTCGACCTTTCTTTTTTCGGGGATTTTACAGCAATTCGTTTACTGTTACCTAAACCGCGGTTTACTGCGGTTTTTAGGGAAAACATTTTCCTCTGGATGAGGCAACCCAAAGTTGCTACTAGCTAAGTACGAATCAATCCGTATGCGATGCGAATATGCTGCGTATTATCTATGGTTTATCATAACTATACTAACCTAGTGGAATTCGTGTTCCGGAGATGACTATCAATGTTGTGGCCTGTATGTTTGCTTGCAAGTTGCTATTTTGATCTGCGACGTTGTTAAACAATTGACATTTGCAAGTTACCTCTTGAAAAGTGGTTGCTTTACATTGGGATTGCCGTAAACAGTGGATTTGACATTGGAGGATGTTTGGTGCAGTAGTAGTAACGAATGGTAAACAGCTTGAGTTAGCACACTGAAATTCCAATCCGTTCATGATTGTCATTGTAACGGACTTTACATCTTGCATGAGCGATTGTTCGAAAAGACCAAACAAAAGCAACATTGAAATTCTTATCCAGTCCATAACTATTGCAGTCAAACTCTCACTTGACAACAACAACAATTGTATTTAAAATAAAATGAATAGCATCTGCTACTAGTAGATGGCTTTTTATTCTCTTTTTTCTCTCTCTTCCGTAATGAAAACCTACTTTTCTCTGCACCAATAGTTTTTTTTTAAAGTCATGTCTTGATGTAATATTCAAAATTACCATATGAAATATTCATGATGAGAACGATGTACTAATTTCTTTCAAACATTTTGAATAAGTGATGCGCTCAAAAAACACTCTTGTTTCATAGTAGCTGCACAGATAGTGGGCGAAACTGCGCATCCATTTTCTTCCTGTTCAACGTAGGAGAAAAAAAGGAATGAGTCAACATAAAGGAGAATGTGTTATTATAATGAATGTTTATCTAACGTAGGACATTTTTGCAACAGATGCGACTCTTCCAGGATTTATTTGTTATGATATGCAATCTAAATCTGTTTCCGTGCGTTTCAAGTCAGAATTCGACGAGTTCTATCGATTCCAAAGAAAAATATTCATAGATCCACGAAAAAATGTTTTTATCATTGTGGATCTTTATTCCCTCGACTGAAAGGAGGGTCCTATGAAAAAATTAGTTTGTGTATCTGTATGTATGTTTGTGTCAGGGTCAAAGGTCAAGATTTACTGAAATTCTCAAAACTCAAAGGTATGTCTTCTAGGAGGGATCTCATGGGTAGATGTTGGCACGAAACGAGAGACGGGTCCAAAAGAACATTGCTCTTGGGGTCAAAGGTGAAAAAAACATTTTTTTTTAAATGTTCAAAACTTAATGAAACATCGTTTGGGAGAGATCTTGTGAACAAATGTTGATATTGGGCAAAAGAAGAGGTGAAAAGAACATCGCCCTTGAGGTCAAAGGTCGAAAAACCTTTTTTTTTTTGGAAATTCCCTCCACTGAACGGAGGGTATACACACAACTTGAGCTAAAGTTCGTTCGTTTGTCCGTACCTTCGTCCGCTCACGTACTTTACACTAACGAAAAACCAATCTACATCTCTGACTAAGAAGGGTTGACCGAGAGGTAATCGGGGTCGAGGAACTCGAATCCGGTGTTAGTTTTCTCATAAACACTTTCTGGCGCGTTTTTTCTGCGACAAAAAAATCAAATTTTTAGACGATAATGTTTTAACCCTTTCAGTCCCGGCTTTTTTTGCAAAAATCGAATTTTTTAAATGATATTTATAAAGATTGTTTTTATTTCTTCAAAAGAAATTACATATTTGTCTCAAGCAGCTATTAATAGTTCATCTTTGTATGGTAGTTTCTGAAGCAATCAACGATACACAGAGGTACATCGCAGTCGGGACAGATATATCGTGTACCACTATGAATATTATGTGATGCATAAGTGACGCATTTTTTTCGAGGTTGGTTTGATTGTGATGTTCGTGGAATAAGTGCGAGAAAATATCGACCAGTTAGACGAAGAGAAGAATCTGCTGTTGATGGTCTCCCAATCGTAGATGATCGTTGTGGGTGAGTTTAAGAAAGAAGAAATATTCCTAAGCTATCTATGACACGTTTCGTCCTTGCTCAAGGGACTCATCAGATAGAATTTATGAGGAATATAGCTGCCAATAATGATATTGAGGGTGTGGGCGTGGGTGAGTCAAGCATTACTACGATCGCGATTTCGATTCTTGCTTACGGGATCATCATCAGGTAGTTTTTGACTTCATAGTCATCCAGATGATCTAACGATCATAGATATACTATATGATCTACATAGTTCGACAACTGAGTGAATGAATCACTAGTTGTTATAGTAGATATCTCTCAGATCACAGTGGTGAGTCAAGCATTACTACGATCGGATATGGGTGAGGGTGTGAGGGTGTGTGAGTCAAAGCACACCATTATCGCGATTTCATCCCTGCTAGAGGACTCATCAGATGGCTTTAGACTGCATAAGCTTGAGGGGTGAGGGTGTAGGTGAGATCAGCTACCAAGACACGTGTTTCGACTCGGTTAAGAGTCTCATCAGTTGGCTTCTATTCTCTAGTTCGATTCAATAGAATTTCATCTAGAATCAAGTCGAGATTTAACTATATTGTTAGAAGTTCAGCTATGAAAACTAAACTCTAATGATAGTTATTCTATTATGGCAGTGTGAGATCAGCTAGGGTGTGGGTGAGGGTGTGCGAGTGCAGGCTGCCATGACTAGTTTCGTCTTGATTAGAGACTTATCAAATGGCATCTATTCATAAAAAACAATTTCTAGTGATCAAATTCAATAAAAATCAAATCTAATCCTTAAAAATCATTTCAAATGAGCAATTACTCTGTTGAAAATCAAAATTCGAACGTCAGTGTGAAGCTAGCACGAAGGAACTACCACGAAGAAACTGTGTGTAAGCTAAAAACTTTTTTCCGAAGTTTGTCCGGCTCATAAAACCTAATCCATTCGATTCAGAATTTTATTCTGCATCGAATGGTGGTATTTTTATTCACCGGACAAACTTTGGAAAAAAATTATCGGAAACATAAATAGACCTATATGAGGCAAACAAATATGTGGTTAAACTTTTTTCCAAAGTTTGTCCGGTGAATAAAAATACCACCATTCGATGCAGAATAAAATTCTGAATAGAATGGACTAGGTTTTATGAACCGGACAAACTCTGGAAAAACGTTTTTAGCTTACACGCAGTTTCTTCGTGGTAGCTCCTTCGTGCTAGCTTCACACTGATGTTTGTGACATTAAAGAATTCCTATGTCAATGGATACAGGTAACACGTCTCCTGCGATGTCAAGGTTGGTTGGCCATTCAAGGCCAAGAGCATCAACGACGAAATGATGAGAAAATTGTTGACAGTTAACTGATGAACTCCATCGTTCTCCGTTTCGCATTACCATTTGTCCATAAACACCAGCCGCCTTAAATGTGAGGTAAATCTATGAAATAAAACGGATAAAATGAAGATTTTACCAATAATGACAATAAATGCTGCTTTGAATGAGTATCTGTTTGTCGACTGATTACCAGTTTATGAACGTTAGCAGGAATCTAATATGTACATGTATGTAGAGAATTGTTTTAAGGTGAAGAATAAAGTGGGCATACTCACGACATGGTTTGATAAATATGCTGGTAAATCATAGGCATTAACATATTTACTGCATTCCAATTTGCCGAGAATAATACTGTCGACACTGTGTCGATCTAATTGCCAAATATCTGTCTTAAGAGTAGTAGAATGAGGACATAGTCCATCATCCATATTTGCAATTAAATGCACCATTAATCCAATTATATGTGTTGATGTGGAATTCCCACCAAGATCAATTATGATGCTCATGTGAGATTTTTTTGAGTCGCTTGGATTATGAATAATTAAATAACACATATTCATTAATTCATCATTCACAGGGAAAAAAGGTATGCTTGTGGTCAGGACACCAAAATGATTTGGATCGATTATTCCCATATATCAATAAGTTTTTCTCGTGTACAATTACTAATCTAATATTGAAAAATTAGAAGATCTAAAAAATAGTGTATGCAAAACGATCTAATATCTATATATGTTCGGGGTGTAAGTATCAGTGTGGTGCTAGCTTCACATTGATTTTCATTGGTTCCACTGCTTGTTATTCAGTAAAAATTATGTACCACGTAAACATACCCCAATTAGAACGCTATTGTGTCTCACTTGTACTGCATTTAGAAATGTTTTCACTGCATTTTAAACCTGAGCAGATGGCAACCCTGATTGTATCACATGTCTTCGACTGCGACACAGCCCTAAGAAAGATTTGCCATGGGATGTAAAGAAGCTCTATTTCTAACGATTGCGCGATAAGTAGAATTCTGAATGTTTTGTGAAAAACTATTATCTTTCTAGCAATGTAACTGAATGGATTGTCGATCTTATGTCAAAACGATGCGATTCAAGAGAAAGAAAGAAGGTTAGAGATAGCCTCATTAGCGCATACATCGCTTCCGTAAAAGTCGACACACGAAGGTATCCTAAAACGTAGCATAAGCATCAGTAAATAGATTTGAAATAAATATTTAATGTTCGCAGTGCCATTTAACGTCAGCAAGCCGTTTAATATTATCATTCGGCGTATGAAATTTTCAGCATTAGTCAATGAAATACAAAGTGATAAAGTGGCTATTCAATTGCTGAGGTCAATAAACATGATTTTCTTTTGTTTTCAATCGTATAATAGAAGACAATGTAAGAATCGAAAGTTTAAAATAACCACACATGTTTCCAATAGCGAGACTTAGCTAAAAAGTATCCCTTTACGAAGCTATGGTTAATATCGTTTACCCGCAAAGCAGTCGCCGGCGAATCGACCATCGGTGAACCAATGACTGATCATCATCCTTGCATCTCTACATTAGGGTCACGAAAAGGTTATACAAGCGAGAGAGAGAAATGCTTTGTAAAAAAGTCTCAAATAACCGTCGAACCGACAATGAATACAATATCGAACTGTTGAAAGAGAAAAATAAAAACTCACGCACATTCGTTCATTGTTCTGTTCACTTCATATTACACATACACATTTATATCCTTCGTTCACACGTGCACCACAAGGTAACGTTCTACATGACTACAATGAATAATAATGATCGATCAAACCATTGCCATCATCTCTTCTGGCTACTTTTTTTCGTAGCGAATGCTACCTGCATTAATGGTCTTGCGAACAATGAAGGTACAAATTCAACATCAGTATTCTTTCGATGGTCTGGAGGATTTGGTCGAAATTTTCAAGAAACTCGTTGTGCTACCGATCAATCATCAGAAGATCCTTCTAATAATCTTCCTGATGTCTATCCTGAAATGCGAGGTTCGTATTGGAAATTGAAAGGCTACTTTTTGCAATATTGAGAGGTTTATTGTTCCTTAGAAAGATTAGCAGAATATGTCATTGATTGTATTCAGTTTTGCATAAAAAAATAACAGCAAAAGACAAACCGACGCCAACGAAGACTAAAGTGACGAAAAATTGAGAGTAAAGAAAGATGCAGCGAATAATTGGAAAAGAGTAAATATAAATTGGTCCTTTTCGTCTTTTCTTTTTTTTTCTATGATTTTCCTATGAAATGTAGACCATGTCACGGCAGATGTCAATGGTTTTCTTTGATGCGGAATAATTCACTCCTCTCAAAATATTAGAATTATTACAGGACACTACGATATTGTCTTTATAGTGATAACAAAAGAAAACAGTGTCCATTGCCATGTGACATGGTCAAAAGCACCAGTGATAGCTTGAAAATATTTCGTCCAGCGTAGAAATAAAAAAAGAACTCGATCGAACTGTGAGTATTTGGCTGATAACTGTCTTAAACAGAATGAAACAAGTCTCAGCCTCTTCTAAATTTCTAACTAGCCCATTCCTGATTGTGGTCCAATCTTCAAGTTTTCGACATATTCTATCTTGTTAGAGCAACAATCTACCCTTACAAGATGATCGTAAATGACTACTTATTTAAGAAATTAAATTCTACATTTTTATGTGAATAGGTGCACTTGACGAGCCTTACTGATATTGATAACGGCAGCTATTCATTCTGTTCTTCAGAAAAATTATTCAAAAGAATACTTGTTCCCCTCTTTCTTAAATAAATATAATCAGTGATATTCTTTACATTCGATTTCAGCTTTATCTTCCTTTTCTTACGTCTTTCTTCGTTCAGTTTCAGTAGAACAGGAGTCTGACTTCAAAGGTCTCTCTTACAGTCGTAGCATACTCAGTCAATTTCATTAAAACAAATACCTAGTATAAAATTTCTTTTCGCTGTATATTCAGATGCTGTGTACTTTCCCCCTGCTAATAATGGCAGCCGAGGAAACCGTTGTCCAAGCAATTCTTCTGTGTTTGTCTACAATTCACAAACACGTCGTGTTCATCTTGTGAGTAATCAGCACTGCATTGTTGTCAACGAAAAATCGTATCATTATCTTGCAACTAAAGATTATCCAACTGTCAATTACTTGAAATCAATTGCTTGTAACCGTGCCGCAACAGACGCGGAAATGAGTTATCGTATTTGGGGCAGTGAATTTCGTTTGATTCGCGATGACAGCAATAAGAAAAAGCTTGTTCTTCAATTTATTTCGCCGGTAGATGGACATGAATACACAATATATATCCGCGGCGACATACTCATTGCAGTTGACAGCAATGATGAAGTTCGAAAAGTGCTAGATCAATTACGAGAACCAACTTTAGAGATTATTGAAGATATTACAGATCAATGGTAATGAATCATCAATTACTGCTGGAGACATTAAAAAGTACTTTCACTGTTTGATCCACATACTTTGCTACGCCTACATGTTACCGGGAGTATCCTAGAAAAAATCGCTTTATTTACGTCCAGCTTTTTCTCGACTTCGTGTTTCTGCTAAGGATCGTGTATGTAATTTAATTTTAAGTTAAGTGAAATATACCATTCCTAACGCTCACTTTAGTTTTCAGAACTATTTCAATTAATGCATTTTTACTAGCTATTCATTTGTACTAATAAAAGTTGCGCACAAAATTTATGAAACGGGCGACTTCTGACTGATTTTTTTTTTGTTTAAACTTGAACTGACACTTTTTCTATTTGATTGTCACTCAGATAGAATATGAAAAGCATTATGTCTTCATTTCTCTTCATAAACAGAGTAAGTCTTAGTAAAATACTATGGATATATTTTATAACCACATACAGTTTGGCAACTTCAAATCAGGACATTGATTCCATCGCCCATACTCCTTTATCACAGTGACTTGTACTCGAATCATCAACGATTACCAAAACATTGCTTATGGAATGAATTAAAAATGATACAAAAAAATTCTAAGCATATAAGCTATTATTTACTATTTTTCTGTGAATAGTTAGATATATTTTGTTTCAGTATTAAAACCTACTGATTTCTCAGATAAAGCAGTCATAACTTGATGAATATTACATTATCCATATCACAAAGCCACACTCTAAAAAAAAGGCCAGGACGGATAAGGCCACAAATCGGCCCATCTCTATTTTGCACACGAGCCCCTCCACCTATGAATTTTATACCATTCGAAAGAGCTCGTCAAGATGAGCATTTCGATGTAAAGTTTTCGGGGCTCTGATCTATTTTCCAATAGGAAGAACTATGAGCAAAAAATCTCGTTTTACGACAATTTACCGAAAATTTTGATTTTTCTTGTAAGCTCTATTTGAGCGAGAAAAATGCAAGACAAAATAACAGTTAATTGGCAATTTCGATAGCTCTTGATCAAGACTTTAATTCTATTTAAAAATCATTAGTCTATCATTTATCTTCGTAAGACACAAAATTGATAAAATGAGCGGTACTTTATTATATGAGAATATTTATTATATTTATATTTTTCATTCTTCTCAAAATAGATATTTACATAGAAAATTGGAAGGTACCAAAATTTTCATTCAGCACGTTTGATAGCCTGTGAAAAAAGGCCACATTTTCATTATGTCCCCATTGAAAGAAAAATATGGCCACTGGTACAGGAAAACGATCTAAAGTATTTGAATATACTGATTTTGTCAATTTTTTCAATTAATTTGACGAAATATGAGAGGATTTCGGATTTCAATAAATATTCTCATCTAAACTCATATAGACGAATGTCATTCGGTTAAGAACAAACCGTTTTAGAAGGTTCCGAAAGGATATTCCTAGTCGTCTAAACGCATACATGTTCGAAAATGCACCCGATTTCTTGGAAGTTGAATGTTTTTGATCGAATATACCAAAATAAGATGTCATAATCATTCAAACTACAAAAAGTATGCTTCAAAACTATCTACTTACATACGGTTTAGGTGGAATAAGTGATCTCGAAACATCTTATTATGCTCAAATAAATTAATCCATCAGGTTCGTTCTGTGTATACAGTAAATAGCACGCTTTTTCTACACATGGTTGCCTCAATATTGCAGTATATTATATCGGGCACATAAAATCATACATCTTCGACGCATAGTCAGCCATTTTCACCCACACCCTCACCCCTGTGATAAATAAAATGATTTCCAGCGGACGCTGTGTTCCTTGGTTATAGATTGTCACGGAGCCTTTAGGAAAAGGTTCTGTAGGAAATCTGCTACGCTAAACGTTTTTACATTGATTTATGAATTGATTTCGTAGGAGCCTTTGTTACCGAACCTTTGATCTAGTCTTTCAAGATGAGATTTTACTATCGGTGTGAAGCTAGCACGACGGAGCTAGCACGAACAAACGATATGTTAGGTAAAAACTTTTTTACTAAATGTCCCGTCCATGAAAACTACACCATTCGGCTCAGAATTTAATTCTGCACCGAATGGTGGTACTTTTATTCACGGGACAAACTTTGGAAAATTTTGTTCTGGATTTTAAATAGACCTAAAGGAAACGAACAAAGATATAGATAAAAATTTTGCCAACATTTGTCCGGTGAATAAAAGCACCATCATTCGATGCAGAATTATATTCTGAGTCGAATGGTGTCGTTTTCCTGGACGGGACATACTTTGTAAAGAAGTTTTTACATAATACATCGTTTGTTCGTGCTAGCTGCGTCGTGCTGGCTTCACACCGATGGATAAATCTTGCTTCAAGAATGACATCTCTTACCTTATCGACCAAATTTATATCTATAGAGACATTATAAAACTCTCAAGATACACTTTTTCTGCTACTTGTTTACTTCGAACTGTACTCGAAACAGCTCACATGCATTATCACGCTCCTGACAAGTATTTTCTCGCATTTTTCTTGCTAGTATTAACAATGCTTTATTGTGCAATATGATCCCATCCGATATTCTTGTTCGTCATCCTCTTCTTCTTTTTGGTGGTTTTTAGTGGCTGATTTTACAATAAATTTGAAGTCGAACTGTGTGATGAAGACGAGAGGATGTTCAGTGCTGTCTGTAACGTTCGATAAGTGAATCCGATCTGGTCAGTGTTTGTTGTCGATCGATTGGTGAGAATGAGTCGCAGTTTCCGGACAGTTTCTTCGATGAGTGCTTTCTTTTCCGATTCACTGAGTGAGTCAGTATCACAAGTCAGATCAACTGATGAATTCCCGTCAGATGAGTTGATATTCCAAACGAGCACGTGACTGGATTGATATTGATTGTCGTTCAGAGCATTCTGCTCATCCGACGACAGGTTCATATTGATTGTCAGTTGAAAGATTTGATTGGAATGAAGTTGAGAAAGAGCTGGTAGAATGTCAAGCTGTTGTTGCCGTTTCATTTCGGTACAGTTGGTACACAGTGAACGACGGGATCGACTGGAGAAATAGGGACGACCACGACGTGCTAATGGTAGAAATGAACGAGAAGAATCGTTCGATCGACGAAGACGACAACAATCGCATTCTATTTGCAAAATAGGAACAACATAGACCGGTCATCGAGCAAAGCAGACTTAATGTGGCTCACCTTCTTGTTTATCTAACATTGCTGATAATTCTGAGCTAAAGCTGGAATTGGAGTGTTTTTCGACTAAGACTGGATTGACTTGTAATGCATATAAAGCTTGATCAACATCTGTAAGTGTTAGTTGACGACAGGAACCAGCGATCTCATCATTGAACTGCATAGTTACTGTTTTGATGACAAAGAGTTTTGAAGTGGTTCTAAAATGTGTTTGTCAGTCGAGTTCAACGGTTGATGTATGGTTGTCTTTACATTTCACCCGATGCTCCGATCTTTTTTAACCTATCTCTGCACGTCGAGTCTCTTTTCTTGTGCAACCGTTGTCATATGAGTCCACAGTTGGTAACCGTGATACGAATTTGATTGTTCTTATGCAAACACACACTCGATTATGTGTATATGTATATCGTTTTGTATGGATAGGCATGTGAGGTAAGCGGCCGAGTGAAGAGAAACAATGAGAAGTGGCTGGTCATCGTCTAAGAACTAATGATATGTTTTATACGACGTTGAAACGAACGCTGAATGAACACATGTTTATGCTGCTATTGATAAGGTGCGACATCTATCTGAATTATTTGAGTTTCTAAGAATACTCAGCAAATTGTTCGTAAAATCATTCCGTCTACTGGTTCTCTGTCGATCGTTTTGAGTTTAATTTTGTATGGCTAATCACACTCTTCAAGGAATATGTCAATGGTTGAAAAAAGGCATGTCTGAATCCAAATTATATCATACAGTATTGGTAAATGATGCCCTGCGCTGCGCTGCCTGCCTGCCCTCCTTCCTTCGTTTCGTTCCTTCTGTTTGTGTGTATCTCATCTCTCTCTGTCTTCGTCCCGTTCTATCTTCCATACCATTCCTATGTATCTGTCTCTCTCTCTCTTGTTATTGGGCCGTCCAAACGATCGTCATTAGAATGATTGAACAAATATCTGACCTTCTTCTAGTGATTATAATTTGAGTCGTTATGTACTGGTTTTTATTTTGCAGCACGTTTGTTCGTTTTATGATAAATAAACAAAGCAATCAATAGGATTTCTACTCAATATTTTAGCATGAACAATGGTTCTTTGCCTATAAAAGGCAATCATTCTCGAACAACAACATCGATAACCGATCCATCATTACGAGCATCACTAATACGAACTTCCAATCAAGACACTCCATCCCATTTAGCTGACGTTTCAATTCTATCTGTTGATCTAACACGTTTTCAGCGTCACGATCACGGCATGTTAACTGATGATGACGATGATAATGAAATCGTAAGATTAAATTGGCTTAATCGTTTGAACGGAATCAAACATAAAATTCTACGACTCTTTAGATCGAAACTAGTGATGAAGAAGATGATGACGATGATGATCAACGATTTGCAAATCATTCGCGAACGACATTATTAAATAATACAAATCACAATAGTGACGATATGGATCTCGATTTAATTGATCCTGATACTCAAGCAAAACTAGCTGCTATCCTTGAAGCTACCGGTATAACGAATTCTCCAATTCCAGAAGATTTCTGGCGTGACCAACAGGTTGTACGTTTATTGACAAGTAGTGTGACAAATAATCTAAATGATTTACACGAAATTGCCAATGCAATGTCATCATCGAATGCAAATCTCATTTCACATCAAGACAAAAGTTCGAAATCGATAAGCAAAGACACGTACGTTCAGTACTTACTTCAATCTCATCTAAAAAAGCTTTTCTCCTCAATTTAGATCTGAAACATTTGTTCGTGCTTGCGTTGATAATGACATTCATACTGTTGAAAAAATTCTTCGAACCACCAACGGAAAAGAACATTTGAATGATGTGAATGAAGATGGTGATAGTGTCTTAGCTCTTGCATGTTCGAATGGACATACAGATCTCGTCCGATTATTGCTCACAACTATACCCGATATTGATATCGATGATCGAGGAACAAAACAAGACTGTACGCCATTGATGGAAGGTTAGCAATCGATCGAAACAAGCTGTAAAATTCGCTTCTTGATTTTTCTAGCATGTAATGCTGGTCATTATGAAGTTGTTGAACTTTTGTTGCGACATAATGCAAATGTAAATATGCAATCAACATCGGGAAATACCGCACTACATTATTCAGCAGGAGGAGTAAGAAGTGGAGAGAATTTGGAAAAGTAACCGATAAAAAAATGACTGTTTGTAGGGTTATGCGGACATCGTTCGACTTCTACTTGAACATGGTGCCAAAGTAGAAGAAACGAATGAAAACGGACATACTCCTCTGGTAAAGTACACTTTGACTGGAGCGAACTAGAATCGAATTCTGATTTCTAGATGGAAGCAGCCAGTGGTGGTCATGTCGAAGTTGCCCGTGCATTACTTGATCATGGTGCTGGTGTGAACACACATTCGAATGACTCGAAAGATAGTACGAAAGGAAATTTTTGTTTCTATAAATTAATCATTAATTTCTATCTTAATAGAAAATGGAAATGATGGTAAACAACATAAAACAGACGAGATGCATACAGGTAAATGCAATGAATCATGAAAAAAACTATTCGAAATTAGCAATTTTACTTATGTAAATGAAACATGCACAGTTAAACTTTGATAATTATCGTCTAGCTTTAATGGAAGCGTGTATGGATGGTCATGTTCAAGTAGCCAAACTCTTACTTGATCATGGTGCAGACGTTAATATGCCACCAGATAGTTACGAAAGTCCACTGACATTAAGTGCGTGTGGTGGTCATATCGAATTAGCTTCGTTATTGATTGAACGAGGTGCTAATTTGGAAGAAGTAAACGATGAAGGATACACACCATTAATGGAAGGTTTGTTACTCTTTCGATAATTGAAGCTATAGGATGACACGTTTGTTCTGCGTTCACAGCTAGTCGAGAAGGACACGATGATCTTGTAAATTTACTTGTTTCAAGAGGTGAGATAAATGAATTTTTCTTCGGCATAAGTAATCATTTTGTTGCTGTTGTTTAGGTGCTGACGTTAACCGAACAACTGATGATACACAAGAGACTGCATGTATGCATTAAATTCGATCGATTGAACGTTACTTTCTAAAACAAAGGAAATTATGCACTTTTTCTAGTAACATTAGCATGTGCTGGTGGTTTTTTGGATGTGGCAAAAATCCTTATATCTCATGGTGCAAATGTTAATTTAGGCCAGTCAACTCCTCTAATGGAAGCTTCTCAAGAAGGTCATACCGAATTAGTCCAATATCTCATACAAAATAATGCTGATGTGAATCAAACAACATCAGCTGGAGAAACTGGTAATTTCCTGTTTGTTTCGTTTTGTTTCGACTTACGCATGAACAAATTTTAGCTTTGGCGTATGCATGTGAAAGTGGACGTACTGAAGTAGCAGAGATTCTTCTCAATTCCGGTGCACATATCGATCAAACTGAAAATGAAGGACGAACACCATTGATGAAAGCCGCTCGAGCTGGACATACATGTACAGTACGATATTTGATTTCGAAAGGTAAGGAAAGCAACATTTCGCTTTCATCTCATCGATTTCGTTCGTCATAGGAGCGGATGTTAATCGATCAACAAATAGTAATGATTCAACTGTTCTTTCATTGGCATGCGCCGGTGGTCATCTAGAAGTAGCTGCTCTTTTACTGAAACATGGTTCTGATCCCAATCATCTTCTTAAAGTAAAGTTTGCAAATGAGAAGAGATAATTCGAGCCTAGAAATTCATCTGTTAGGATCGATCGAACTGCTTGATTGAAGCCGCGAAGGGTGGTCATACAGAAATAGTAAAGTTATTACTTGAATATCCTAAAAGTGTTACACAACGAACAAGTACGATAAATTCGATTGAGCCTTTGACGAATATAGATAATGAAGAAGAAGGCGAAGAAGAAGATGGGTCAACACCAGTCATACCAAATTCTGTATCAGGTTTGTACTTTTGACAATCTTCTTCCAAGTTCCATTGCGATTGAATCCGTTAGGAGATAATAAACAATCTTCTCAAACAACCAACTCACCCATTCAATTACTTAAAAGTTTGCAAAAAATAGTTCCAAGAAATATTCTTGATGTTCTTCAAACTGGCGTCAATGAATCAATCAAATTACACACTGATAATGAAACAAAAGGTTTGCGTACTTGTACAATGAACTAATATCTGATTTTGACGAAAGTTTTCTCTTTAGATAATCCCATACAATCATGGTCGACGAACAATATTCGATCATCATCGCCTCACCTAATCGATGACAAATCTCAACAGGTATCAACACCTGCCAATCCGAATCCCGAAGTGATTAACATTCAACAAGCAAAGAAACTTCAGATACTTGGTAAATCTACACTGTCTTCTGATCAAACGATTCTAGATATTGAATTCTGTAGAGCAACTTCAACATGTTGAAAAAGAACTACATGATAAGGCTCAACAACATTTGAAAATCAATCAAGAATATCGACAACATGTTAATGAATATATTTTATCTAATCCAACTCTACCTTCGTCTTCTTCTTCTTCTTCTTCTTCAACAGCGACCGCAGGTAAAAAGAAGCGAACAACATCATCATCGTCAACATCCAGTTCATCATCAGCGACTTCTTCATCGTCATCAGCAGCTAAACACGATGAGCAACTCTCTACCAACCTACCATTGTCCCTTCCGCCACAAACTATTAACTTTTTCTCATCACCAACGGCTGAATCGAACTCTTCAACATTGACTAATCTTCGTCCATCCAATAAATCCAATCTACCGACCTCTCACCACAGTCAATATCAGCATAAAACAAAAAAGTCTTTCAATCGACAGTTAACTAAATTCGATCGCCGACTAGAACAACATTTACATGATAATCAATCCAATTTAGACGAAATGAATCTTCATTTCACTAATTTGAAACTGCTTTCTTCTACACAAACACCAACTCCATCTCCTCTCTCGTCATCGGATTGTTCAACAGTATCCAGCCCATCGAAAATATCTATGCGCATCAATACAGACACACAAAAAGCTCTTGAACACTTACGAGAATTAGCAAGTAATCCATCAGCATTGGAGCAAATACAAACTCTAACAAACAATCCAAATTTGATGCATCAAATTAAAAAAATCGCCAATCAGTCGTTCATTGAACAATTGAAGATCTTGCCTCCATTTGCACCTGCGAATTTATCGCACACTACGAATGAGTCGACGTCGCCTTCAACTATAGACAACAAACCTTCTAACGAAAATCATGAACAGAGTAAGCCGAAAATATCTGAAGATTATGATTACTTTTGACGATTCTAGTACAAACACATGTAGAACCAGTTACTCTGTCACGATCGAACTCAACAGTACAATCAGTGATACCCTTAACTCAAATATCCTTTCCACAACAACAACAACAGTCGTCAACTCTTCAGAGTTCGATCAAAGAAAACATTCAACAGTCGACATTAGCAAACGATCTTCCATCTCCTCCCTCTTTGCCGAACGGAACTAACGTTTCGCATTCGATGTGTTGCGCCGAATGTCCATCTCATGGATCGAACATTCTAAATACAACGTTATCTCATCTACGGTTTCAAAATCGAATTAATGTCGATTGTGAAACAGAATCGAATCGTGATACAGCATTAACTCTATCATGTGCTGGCGGCCATGAAGAACTTGTTTCATTGCTATTACAACGTGGTGCCAATATCGAACATCGTGATAAAAAAGGTTTTACACCACTGATCTTAGCAGGTCTGAGTTTAGCTTTTCGTTCATGTAAAAATATGAAAGATGTTCGTTTTAGCCACTGCGGGCCATGCAAACATTGTTGCAAGATTACTTGACAATGGAGCCGTGATTGAAGCGCAGTCAGAGAGAACAAAAGACACGGCACTCTCATTAGCATGCAGCGGTGGACGGCAGGAAGTGGTTGAAGTTTTGTTGAAGAAAGGAGCAAATCGGGAACATCGAAATGTTTCAGATTATACTGGTGGGTATTCTTAGTTTTTGGCTTTTGATACATGACAAATCTAACTTTCATTCGGATAGCTTTGAGTCTTGCTGCATCTGGTGGTTATGTAAATATAATTCGACTGTTATTAAATTATGGTGCCGAGATTAATTCCAGGTACGTTTATCGATCTAGTCTAAAATCTGTCTCCTAATTTACATTTATTCTTCTAGGACGGGGAGTAAATTAGGAATAACAGTAAGTATAATTATTTTAGTGTAAAGCAAAAGAGTGTACTATCGTTACTATTCATTAGCCATTGATGCTTGCTTCTATGAATGGACACGTCGCTGCTGTTAAACTTCTGCTAGATATGGGTTCAGATATCAATGCACAGATTGAAACGAATCGAAATACAGCGTTGACACTGGCGTGTTTTCAAGGTCGAGCGGAAGTGGTATCTCTATTAGTAGATCGTAAAGCGAATATCGAACATAGAGCAAAAACCGGATTGACGCCTTTAATGGAATCTGGTACGGATATTTCGATACGTTAAGAGCGAGAAGAAAAATAATTTCTCTTTTTTCTCTTTTAGCATCCGGTGGTTATGTGGATGTGGGCCGTGTACTATTAGAGCGCGGAGCCGATGTCAATGCATTACCAGTTCCGACATCGAAAGATACCGGTATGCCTAATGGTGAATGACACGAGATCAGAGAATGTTTTTTTCTTCTTATTTTAGCATTAACTATTGCTGCTGACAAAGGTCATCATAAGTTCGTTGAACTATTACTTCTCTATGGTGCGACAATTGACGTTCGAAACAAAAAAGGTGCTACACCACTGTGGCTGGCTTGTAACAATGGCCATCTCGAAGCTGTTCAGTTGCTGGTTTCGCGATTTGCTGATCCAGACTCCAGTGACTTACGAAAGGTGTCCTGTTTAATGGCTGCTTTTCGTAAAGGACATACTAAAGTGGTAAAATACTTAGTTCGTCAAGTCCGACAGTTTCCATCCGATGCCGATTGTCGACGACTAATCAGTACGATTACTGATAAAGTATGCAGAGATAATTTGCATTTGAATTCTGTTTATTTTCAATAATTTTCTCGTAGGATTTATTAAAGAAATGTCAAGCATGTATGGATCAGATTATTTCAGCGAAAGAACGACAAGCGGCCGAGGCAAATAAAGCTGCAAACAACCTATTGAAAGAAATTGATTTAGAAAAAACTCGCGAAGAAACACGAAAAGTTGCAGCTGCAAAAAAACGTGAGAAACGTAAAGCTAAAAAGAAAGGTAAACAAAAGTCGACAGCACAAACTGATGAACAGCATCAGCCACAAGAAATCGAAGAAGCCGAAGAAGAACATAATGAAAACGAAGAACCATTTCATGAAGAAATTCATCCACCATTAGAGACAACAGCAGCCACTATACTTGTTGTTGATGATGATCTTCGATTGAAGATGGTTACGTCCGAAAGCGAACAGGCGTCAAGAAAATCTCCTCCACCTGAACCCATCACATCAACTCCATTACTACCACCTACTTCCCTTCTGCCACCAACTCCTTCGGTTGCAGTGTCGAAACAGCCGACGAATAGTAATAATAAAAAGAAAACGAGCACAATGACACGTAAGATTGAACGACATCAAGAAAATCTCGCATCTAAAAGTAAACAGCAAGAAACATCGTCAACAGCCAGTACAGCAACTGTACCGATCGTGGACGACGGCTGGCAAGAAGTCATCGGCAAACAGAAGAAAATAACTATTCCACACGAGCACTATTTACGCATTGTAGGACGAAATGGATCGAATTTAAATGCTTTACGAGAAGCTACTGGTGCATCGATCGATGTCGAAAACAAACGAGCTGTCGGCGATAAAACAATTCTAATCAAGTATAACTTGTTGATCTTTTTGCTCTTCTATTATCATTATTTTTTGAAAATAGAGGGAATGGTGATTCAATTAAACATGCATATCAATTGTTAACTGCTCTGTTGAAAGATGTGGACACGGACTTAGTGAATCTCTTGTCATCAAATACTGAAAGTCAAAAAATGAAATCAAGATCAACTACAGTAACATCTACAAACGAAAATAATAATAGTGAAGAGACAGCAAAAACTCAAAGAGCGAGTAGCACAAATTATGGATCAAGACTACAGAATAACGGTAAATAAAAACTATTCACGCATCCACTTCTTTTTTGCCCTGGTGAATTCACTAAATGACATATTGTCAATTCTTTTTTCAGACTTGTCAACACCAGAAACATATGCGTCGACTCCGAGCTCTAAGCCAACAATGAGTAATAGTCGTTCGTCAAGTAAAAAAGTAGCGACCACCAACTCGACTCGGTCAACATCCTCCTCATCATCATCGGTAACCAAAACATATCAACCATTAACAGCGACTGGTGCAACATGGGTGAACTCGAACCGTTTAAATCGCGGTACATCTTCATCGTCGACAACAAACACATCAGCATTAAATATGACGATAACAGCATGGAATCATCCACAGATTCCATCAAAATCTCCTTCCGTGCATAATAAAACATCGAATGCCTCCTCATCAGTTTACCACAATTCATATTCCAGTATGAATTCAAGTAATAATCACAGTAATTATGGTCGCACAAATAAGCAAGGTACATCCTCAAGTAAACCTTATACTACAAATCATCAACAGAAAGCGGACTACACGCCATCGAATGAGACGACTCTTGTCCACCCACCCTCGACACCCCTCATTCCATCACAACCAGGTGTTCGAATGCCGACTCTATCGACATTGTCGACTACATGTGATTCCGTACCGTCAGCACTGCTTTCAGCATCGTCTTCTTCTTTACTTGTTGTTTCATCTGCTACACCTACTCCGACAAACGTGTCGAAACCGGGTGAATACAATCCATTCGCTTCGAATATTCTAACAACATCAATTGTTGATGTATTAACTAAAACCAGGGAACCGACTACATCTGTCGATGAATCCAATTTAAGCCCATCAACGAAAATGAATTTTGCTAATGTGGCAAAAATGAATGTGCCAACAAGAGCTACTCATCAAGAGCCAGTTGCTGTCACTATGAATGAGCCAACTTCACAGCCACCACCGCCTGATCCCAAGATTGCTCCTGGTTATCGCGGTCCATCAAGTACGAGAACAACACCAGTGCACCACCAACATCATTGCCAACAGCCGCAACCAATCATTCATTCAACTAATTATGATTCACTTTCACCTACATCACAACTGAGTCGTGCACCTGGCGCAAATCGGCACCAACAGTCAATATCACCATCGATGAACAAAGTACGTCTTGATCAAAATGGTCACACAGGTTCATCAACGACTTCATCGACTTCTTCATCACCATCGTCAATAAAACAACAAACAAATCAACTTATTCCACCTCAACAACTGTTTGCATCAGTTGATCAACAACAACAACAACAACACCAACCATTTGGACCTATTGGAGCTCATCGTCCAGCCATGCCACTTACCGCTGATGTATCATATACAGACAGTCCACTTCAAATGAGAGCAAAATTCAATCGAACATTATCGGCAAATAGTACACCAATGTATCAGCAAGTAATACAACCGACATCATCATCGTCATCACAACCACCCCCACTATCGTCAATGACGCTGAACAATCCAGCATATGCAAATATGTCACGGAGTCGATCGAATCTCAATCCGAGCGCACCAGAATTTCAACACTGTAATCGTCTACCGTCCCCGTTTATGCCAACACCATTAGTGCCCCCGACGCTTCCATCACAAGCAGCTATCTCCAGTGGACCACTATCGGCCAATATTATGAATATTGTTCGTATGATGGAACAGAAGCAGCAGCAGCAACAACAACAACAGCTATATCCAAATAATCCAACCATGCCAGTACCGCCATTGCCTGTACAACCGGTTATTGCACCACAGGTAATGACGCCTCCGCGCTTAGTACAGCCAGTAGATATGGAAGCAATGCAACAACATGTACAAAATCAAGTGTTACACTTTTGGCGTCCACCTCTAAACCAACAGCAGATGGTACAGCCAGCACCACCTCCACCACAACTACTGACAACATTGCAAATCGCTAATATTTTGGCATCCAAGGGGCAATTACCACAAGATCCAAATCAAGCAGCAGCACTTGTTGCGGCTTACTATACAAATCTGATATCAAGAACGCAGCAGCAACAGCAACAACAACAACAGCCGCCACCACCACCACTACCACCTCAACCAAATAATATTCCAGCATCGTCAAATGTAAATAAAGTTGTCTATGAGACGATCAATACACAACCAGTACCCACTTCAAACAGTGATGATATACCACTAAACACAGGTAATAGACTATTGAAACTATATACGCACGTAGATTTCTTTTTTTCAACCGCTCTCAGTCGATTCAATCAATGGACAAACTAAGCCTCAAGTTATCGTCGATCCGAATGTTATCCTTGCCAATAGTAATCATTCAACCGGTCCTTCTTCATCCGCATCGTCAACTGCCAATGTCGATCACAAAATGATACCAGCTGCGATCGGTAGTGAACGTAAACGACATATACCTGCATCGACTATCAATGGTCCGATGCCGATCGCTGGTGCTAACGATTGGTCATCTGTTCAGAAACGTATGACCGCCCTTTATGTTCTTTCTGCGTCATCTCCATTTGCTTCTTCTTCTGTTGATTTAGAACCGTATCCGATCGATCCCTATTTACAACAGCAACAACCTCAAGTTTCTCTCTCGTCTGAATATCAACAACAACAGCCGTCGCGTGATTATACGCGCTAAAAATCTTTCTAATCGATTGAGAATATAATGCATAGATTTGCCTCTTATTGTTCAAAAGATTTCGTTTGTTTGTTTGTTTTTTATTGATGCACTCTTCATAACTACGTGTGACACAATGTCTCGCTCACTTGTATTGCTTGTGCGTGTGTTTTCTTTCTCTCTGTCTCTACATCACTTTCGTTCATTTTTGCTAACCGATCGTTTACTTTTTTTTCGTTTTTTCCCAATTTTATTAGCTCTTTACTCTACAGACGTTTTCCCCGATTTGTTAAAGCAGTGGGTTCTCCCATGTGCCATTCGATTCAGTTCTCTTCGTGTTGAAGATGATGTCGCAACAAGTTTATCCGCCGTTTTTCTTTTCTTTTTGTGTCAACTTTTTTTCTTTTCGATATACATACAAATACATATACACAAAGTTAAATCTCCAATTCTTTTCATTTGTCGTCTTCATCAATAGGTAAGACAATGTCGTTATTAATCTTTCACCTTTATAGATGACCGATGGCTGCCTAAATTGTCGTTTGCTCCTTTCGTTTCTTTGTGTCTTAACTTTTCTTATATCAATCACATTGAAAATCAACCAAGCATGGGCACATATTTCCTGGTTTTTAATCTTTATTCCACTATGGATCTTTAATCTCATCTCATTATGTATAATTATCTATTTAATCATCATTAAGAGATGGTTAAGATCCCAAGAAACATGTTTACAAATTATTTATTATCTCTTGAGTCTACTCTCGGCATGCGCATTCGAAGTTCTCCTATGTGTTAAATTGCAATATAAACGAGATATGCCATACTGGATTGTGTTTCTACCGATGTGGATATTCATGTTCCTATTGTTGAATATTATCGCCCAGCAAATGCATCGAACGTGCCAGGCAACAAGCGGAAAGACTCTATGATCATGTTCCTCTATAGATCTAATCTGTATATACAGTGTTTGTAAAAACTGCTGGAATAAAAAAGAGCAGCTCATATTTTTGTACAATTGTATAGCATGTGAAGCCATTGTAAATAAATCATGTTGTTATGCATTGCAACTTTACGAAGGATGTTTCATTGACAGACAATATCTTTTGTAGTTTACTAGTACAATGATGACATGTGACAAGCATTTTCGGTTAGGAATGTTAGTTCCTATCAGCAATTCAACGTGCAATAGACGGAAGATTTCCTTTTGAGTTTGTTGATATTTTTTCTTCTTTTCGCCAGCCACGAGTTTGTGTTACACTGTATCTTTCATCAATCATCGATGTCGATGATACAGTTTGACGCCTCTCCTTATGACAGAACAAGTAAATTACAGTAATACAATGTAAGCTCTTATTTATACTATTAGGTTATACTTGTCTAGCATATATACAATGCCACTTGGGTTCTATGTGGAAACTCCAGACGGTCGTCGTAAGTCTGTGACACTACCAACACATTTCAGTCTCGATGATTTTCGTAACATAATTGAAAAGAAAGTTGGTAATCCGGAACATTACGATTACTCACTTGGTGATGTCATTTTTCGTACGTGGGACGAGGAAGCGTTCAATCGACAACGAAGTGCCATTCATGATGGTATAACTCTTATGATACAATATCCACCAGTTGGACCAACGAGTCCACCTTGGCGTCAAGCAGCTGCTGGCTTATGTCTGGAAGGAGTTTGTTTAAATGTACAATGTGAAGCTTTCGAACACAAAGTTATTATGAATCAGGGAGTGGGAACATATGCTGTTGTTCATAACTCAATCGTTAGTACATCGAAATGTCCGCTATGCAAATCGACGGTCCATCCAACGGTCTGTGCTTTTTATCAATGCTCATGGCGAGTATCAGGCGTGAAGTCTGCCGATACAACAGACAATATATCTACTACGAAAAGTCTTACTTGGCAAAATGCAACACATGACTANGAACACAAAGTTATTATGAATCAGGGAGTGGGAACATATGCTGTTGTTCATAACTCAATCGTTAGTACATCGAAATGTCCGCTATGCAAATCGACGGTCCATCCAACGGTCTGTGCTTTTTATCAATGCTCATGGCGAGTATCAGGCGTGAAGTCTGCCGATACAACAGACAATATATCTACTACGAAAAGTCTTACTTGGCAAAATGCAACACATGACTATCATCGATGGGAAGAGAATTTGACAGCTTGGAAACAGTTATCAGTCGAAACAAGAACATAATTTCATGATCATGACTGTCAAGAGTCGGAACATATCAATCGATTTTCATTTCTTATGTGCTTTAATCTTTGTTTAATAAATTTTATTGATGAATAATAGAAACTGAATGAAATAATTTAATTTATTAAACATGAGGTATTCTTTTTACTAGATGCATATGTACATCTGCAATAATCCTAGTCTATATATGTGCCGCATTTCTTGGAATACCTTCAAAATCAACCAGAATTTCATAGACAACTGGTCAAATTTGATTAACTTACCAGTAGGATAATCACACAAAGTACCCGTCCATCCCCTAAGACATTGGCAAAAGAAAGTGTTGAACGAAGGCAGTGGGCAACAGCGACCATTAGCGCAGGGATTTGGATTACAAACGTTGGATGCTACTACTAAAAGCGAGGAAATCTGTTTTTTTTTATCGATCATCGCAAGAAATGAAACGATACCATTGCCAGCTTCACAAAGGAATCCAGTGAAATTAGGAAGGCAGGTACATCGAAAACCTCCACCAGCATGGATTTGACATGATCCTCCGTTATAACATGGATTTGTCGAGCATGCGCTAGTCGACGCTGAAAAATAACATGAAGAAATCGACGAAGCAGTGATAAACATTTGTATATTACCGTCGGGATAATCACACAAAGGCCCCGCCCATCCAGTAGCACATGAGCATGATTCGAAAAATCCTGGATTTGAGATACTTGATAAACATGTTCCTCCATTAAGACAAGGGTTTGAAGTTGGACCACAATATACGACAGCTATTCAATAAATACAAAGTGAAATTATACAATACGCATGAATCATTTACATCGCTCATTCAGCTCTTCTCGGTGAACATAATTATCTTCCGCATTGACTATTAAGGAATGAATAAAAACCAATAGTAGAATGCAAGATGAATACATATTGATGATATTCTCAAATATACTAGAATTTATTCCATTACCCTTATATATATATATAGTGGCGGTGCCAAGGGTGGGTTACAGGTGACTAAACCCCCTAGATTTTTCAGAACTTTCAAAAAAATTGATAATTTTCTTACAAATACATAAGGCATTAGAGACTGGGCCTGCTAACGCGAAAATCCTGGCTTCGCCTCTGACTATATATCATCATTATTTTCTAAGGCCGTAAGGAAGCTATATAAAGCCACCAAAATTACTTTCATTCTCGAATTACATTGTTTTTCGCAGTCTGTAGAGCGATTGATGATCGAGCAAGACGAACCGAAAACAAATGACTTCTTTCTCTATAATCCGACTAACACTGTTTTTTTCATATACCTTTTCATATTTGTTAACGTAAGCGTAGGCCATACTTACTCAACAGCATGCAATACCTATTTTTCATTCATGGTTTAGAAAAAGAAATTTTACTCAACATTTCACTGATTTGCGCAAGAGTTTCGTATATAAATAATTTCCTTTCGCAAATGTGTTTATTTGATTCCAACCTGACTTGTTTAGATATTCGAGCTCTGAATGATGGTAGATGCAAGTACTCAGACTGTGCCATATTGCGAATCTCAACTACCATCACATAAGAGCACAATCACAGAAAAATCGAATGTAAAGAATGAAAAAGAAGGAAATGATATAGATTTCGATTCAGCAATTATATCCATCGGTCGAGCTCAGAGCAATCAAGTACGCAGCCGAGTATTCTTTTCGCAGTTACTTCATCCTTCGAACAAACAGTCAGATGATTTATTTTGCATTTTTAAGTGTAGAGACCAAATATATGCTGTTAATCAACAGATGATCAATGTAGTTGATCAAATGATTGCTCAGCCACATGTTTCTTATTCGTTATTGCCAAAACATTTCAAACCAAAACAACAAGTCACACAGTTGAAAGATTTGAACCGAAAATATCAGTCAAAGTACCATGAATATTCATACTAGAGTTCACATGTTAGATCGAATTCAAATCAATGTATTATTGATGATCATCATGGAAAACTAAACAATAGTTGACACGGATATTTTGTAGTCTTTATTTCCTAAACGAATAAAGTAATTCAGATGTTGGACAGGCGATAGATTAAATATGAAACTATGCGTGTCTTGTTTTTACTAACAGTGAACAAAGAGATATTGAGGATAAGGACTGGGATAAGTTTATTTCTCAATTATTCCGAAAAGCTNTCAAATCAATGTATTATTGATGATCATCATGGAAAACTAAACAATAGCTGACACGGATATTTTGTAGTCTTTATTTCCTAAACGAATAAAGTAATTCAGATGTTGGACAGGCGATAGATTAAATATGAAACTATGCGTGTCTTGTTTTTACTAACAGTGAACAAAGAGATATTGAGGATAAGGACTGGGATAAGTTTATTTCTCAATTATTCCGAAAAGCTCATTAGATAGAAAGTTTTTTGTATAAAGATGAAACACGCTGCGATTGTCTCTTAACCACGTGGTTGATCGGTGCTGGTTGTTTTACGCCATTCGTCCCATTCCTATTCAAAGTGATGCACAAGTGTTCTGAGAAAAAGAATGACGTTTTCATGTTACCTCGAGTTTGGGGCACCATCGTTGAACATCGGTAACTTTGTTGATACCTACAGCTCGTTCGCATCTGAAATAGTGTGCACATTCAGTTGTCTATCAGGGAAGTCTTCGATAGAAATTTACCGTTCTTCATATTTTTCTTTGGTTTCTCGAAGTTGTTTACGGGGAAACAGGAGACCAAAAAGACGATCTTGTAAGAATTGTTGTGGATCTCGTGCCTCTAGAATAGAACCGAAAATCAGCCGAAAATCTGCAAAAATCTGCACATACCGAAATTATTTTCATCATCAGCATGAGCAATATGCACAAAGGCGATAATGAATAGAGTGCAAACGAGACCAAATAAGATTTTATTCATGATGCAATATTGTATGTATGAATACCGAATGATACTGGCTAACAAAAACGTTCTTCTATTCCTTCTGCTTGTCTTCTCGACGAGATTATCTCCTTAAAACAGTTAAGAAAATGCTACGAGCGGCTTAGTCGACGAAATGAAGATCATGTTTATTCCGAAAAAACGAGCCTTTATAAGGCTCAAGAACAAAGGAGAAGTCATCAGGAACTTCTCCTTGTGAATATACAAAAAAGATGTCCAGGCCTCATGTCACTTGGGAACATTTGACCTGAACAGAAGTGACACATATAGACGAACGAAAGTCGAACAAGTGAAAAGAGAGGAAAAGAAATAACAACTAGACGGGCTGCCAGGCTTCGCCCGGCCGCGAAATACGGTGCGCTATGCTTTTCGACGGCTGGACTGTCGTGATTAGATATGCATTGTTAATTTCATTTTTAAGATAGAAACCTCTGAAATTTGTTTGAAATAAATGAGGTCACTATATGCAAGGACTGTTACAAAGAATTTTGATATTGATACAAACAGTCTGTTGGCGCCTTTTTTTAAATAGAAAGATTTTGTTGCAATGTTAACGTCTCACTTATTTGATAGTGTGTTAACGATCATCCTTTTTCTCATTTAAAACTTGTTCCAGTCTCTTTTATTGATTATTGATATGGCATCGAAACGATTCAAAACTTTGTCAGGTTTTGTAACAAACGTGTCACCAGTCAAAGAAGGAAAAAACAAACATAATTGGGCTGAAGGCTTAATTCAAACTGGAAGTGGAAACGAAGAAAAAGTTTTGTTTTTCTTCGAAAAACCTAAAACTACTAGTCCATTGTATCAAAGTGCTTTATCTGCCTTTGATAAAAAAAAACAGCAATTGCTGTCTCCGGACTGAGTGAAGATAAGGAAGGTAATTTGGCTAGGAACTAATTTTAATCTTGCGTCGAAATTGATTTTTTATCTGCCAATTAATGTAAGAATAGATTAGAAATTGCGTCTAGAAATATAGTTTATGATTTGAATGCTTTTGCTAATATAGAATGTGTTTTTTCGTGAGCATAATTCTCTATAGTTGCGAAATATGTAATAGGTCGATGGATGTACATAGTTGAACTATCTTCAATGATAATATTTCTCTCTATTAGCTTATCAAACGGAAAGTATCAATTTACGGTATATTTTACTTTTTAGGAACGTATTTAACTTGTCTAACTAGTGAGATCAAACCTCGTCAAGTGACATTCGAACGTTGACAAGCAACAGCTGATCTTCATCTGATGGTGTGAAGGTGATCTGTGGATGTGTTGTCAAACTGAATCCAATAAAGAAAATCGACAAATACGATAATGGAACACAACAGAAGGTAGAAAAACTTTATCGAACGGGTATCGTTGCGGATGGAAGTGGTGCTGTGATGGTAATGTTTTGGCAAGAATTAGCAGATGCTGTAGATTTTATTCATCTGTTTTATCTAGTCTTAATTAGCTGATTTTCATTAAATAGGTTTGTGAAGGCGTATGCATTAATTTGTCAAATATGCGAGCTACTGTTGATGGCCATGGAACTCCATATTTTACCACTACGTTTCGAACTGTGTTAAAAAGTAAGTTCACATGTCAGATGCGTGTGAGTAAGATGTAAACACGTGAAAAAAATATCTACATTTCTATTTGCTTGGATTACATTCTAGTATTGAAACTATTTCTTTTAATATCTTTAGATTTACTTGAAACAAATATTAACTATGATGAAGAAGCAGCTGAAGCTTTATATGATTGTGAATTGACATTGTTTCAACAAGTAACTGGTACTGTTGATTCAGTGTGTGTCGATTTACAAATTATATGTCCAAGATGCAAAACGAAAACGACAAGTACTGATCGATTAGTATGCTGTTCTAATAGCACATGCAGTGCTACATTAAAATCTAAAGTCAGTTCAATTCGAGCAGATATAACTATGAGTGAAACAGGTTTACCGTTTACATTTTTCTTTCTATCGATAATCTTAAGTTTCAATTTAGATGGAACGAACATCGTTTAGTCGCATACAAAGATGTTCTACTTGCTAATATTGGATTAACTGATCAGAAGTCGATTTCTGATTTCTTCATGGCTGACGACAGTCAATTTTACTTCGAATTTCATTGCCGCTCGAAGGTTATTGAATTTATTCGAAGTAAATATTGTTGGGTAGATAATCATGTCGTGTTTATTTCTATTTATTTGTATAGAATTAAATCAATCTAAATAATCTAAACGTCTCGCTCATTGGATGAATCAATAATTTGATGAAATTTACAATCGATATTCAAAGCATTAATATCATCCAACGTTTGATGGCGTAACAAGAATAAACTCGTTAACATTCGTTTGAAAAAAGAATTTTTGTGATTTCTTTTCAAACAAATAAACAAATCTCACCAACGAGCAAATTTTTCTTCTTTTTCTCTCTCATTTCAATGATTTACGTATCCATAAACAGGAAAGAATATTAATCATTGAAGTTCTTCTAAATCATCATATCCAATGGCTTTTGTTCTTGCTCATAAAAGTCCGTGTTAGGATATAATTAGATAATATTTGAATTAATGCTGTAATAATATCTTCATATTGAGTATAACAGTTGAACGTCTCTATATTAATAGACTCATCAAATACACTTGATCCGAGGACTACATCGTTCAAAACCGTCTTGACGGTGAGAAGTCACGACACGCTGAATTCGTTGGTAGGGTGTAGAAATGGAGATGTTGTAAAAGATTCGGTTATTAGAGAAAGCAGAGTATAAGGATGCTAGAAAGCAACTCGGTCTATGGACCAAACGTTGTTTGGATTTCCAGTGCCACAAATGCTACATCGAAGATTTCATATGATCATTTGTTGCAACATGAAACGTTGATATGTAAACGATTGTTACAAATATCCATGAAAGTTTGCATAATATTCAATACTCTCGTTGAGATTACTGTTTCTTAGTGAATAATATTCAAAATCATTGATTTTTCGTAAATGGACTCATCCAAATACATCTCATAATCACTGGATTAGGGCAGCATCTATTACAATCCTTCAACTTTCACAAATGCGGCGATGGATTTCGTTATCGTTACCCGAAGGCTGATTATTGATACTATTTATTTGACATATTAGACTATTGACATATTGAGACAATATTCACATAAAGTAAAATTGTAAATGAAAATTTTCTTTCCAATCGTTTGTTGATGTTGAGAAACATGATAATGAATTAATTGTTAGACAAAGATCATAAAAGAAAGAGTAAAAGTAAAAAAACAGTAAAAGAAAAGGACGAAATACATATCGACAATTAAACCACACGAACATGAGTTAAAGGAATTTGATGTGGTGATCCATCTAAGTGATGGACACTGTCGTAATGTCGAGATTGTCGATGGTACACAATATGAACTTGTTGATTTGTATTTTCTTTAGTAGATATGAAGCTGGCTGTATCGCCAGCACGATGAATAACAATATTTCGTTTAATGACGATGGCAGTTGCTTGAATGATGAGATTATCTGCATAACTACCTAGTTTAGACATTCGATTTATGTATTCATCCATATTATTGAAGTCTGTATCCAAAAATGCTTCGAATTCTGTATTGTTCATTGATATGTAATTCACGCTATCAGTTCTTAATTCAGAATGACAATTTTCATGTCTATACATTTGATATGAGATAGCTCGAAAGAAACAATTTCCGTCACCCTCAAATTTTAATTATTTGAAGTCCTGCATTGTACGTTTGAGAATTTAAAATATCAATTTCTTTTTGTTTTCGATATTCGATATCATTTAAATCAATTTCTATCGGAGTATGGATATCGGATGATTTATTAGCTTTCTTATTTTCATTCAACAAATTCGTTTTACCACGTGACTTCGTCTTTCTTTTTTGATAACTCTTAATATTTTCGGATGCTTTCTTTCTTTTTTTACACTCTGTAGGTAGTGTAATAAGAGAATCAGATGTTTTTATCGTTTCATTTTATATTTTCAGATCGATGTTCTCTACGGTTTCTATTTCTTTTGTTATATCAATTGGAGTACCATTTAAATCAACAGAAATACATATTGGTTCATGATAACTATAAAAGCTTCCAGACACCTCTCGAAAATAGCTCTTTTTCGAAATGAAATTTGTATGGATACAATCAATACTTGTTTGATCGTTTGTAGTGGATACACGATCAAATATATTGATAAAGCCTAAATCATGCAATCCTTTAGATATTGTTTTATTTGAATCGGATAAACTATTTCCATTTAGATCTCCAATGATTAGTATCCGCTTTTTAATATCAATTGCTTTCAAAAGATATTTCAAATTTTTAAGAAATTCTTTTTTTTCTTGTTGTGGTGATCGATAGCAAACAATTAGAAGAACATTTTTCTCTATTGATTCAATCATAATGTATTCTAATCTGATAACTTCTGAAAGAGTTACATCGATGATCTGAATATCATTTCGATAATAAACTCCAACACCACCATGCTTTAATAATTTCAATGGATGTTTATCTTTATATGAATCGAATCGCGTTCGACCTAGAAATTGATAACCTTCAATTTCCAAAACCTTATCATCATCATTGTTATTCTTCTTTTCCCACGTTTCCGCAAGACAGATTATTGCAGCTTTCTTCGTCAAATAATGACTTCGAAGTGCAACTATGTTCGACTGTAATCCTTCAATATTATGAAATAGAATATTCAAATATTCCGACTTTTCTATAAAAAGATCTGCAGTTTTCAATCGTTTCATTTGAGAGAGCACTGCATCAACATTAGGATCACAATAGAACTTTTCAAGATGAAGATCTTTCAAAAAGAGACTTTCAATTCTTTTGTTTCGAGATAAACCTGTATAACCCATACCACAACCGAATAGATCCTTAGTGCTCAAAATCAATTCATCAACTGTAAGGCCTTGTGCTTTGTGAATAGTCATTGCCCAACTCAGTTTTAAAGGGAATTGTTTATTTAAAGAGCTATCTGTTGAACTGTTTTCATATTTATCATCATTCTCACTATTTCGTTCTACACATACAGTATCACGATTATGACAATGCTGACAACTTGTCCTATGCAAAGTACCTGCGCTTGGTGAATCACATTTGATTACAATTCGAACAATTTCTTTATATTTATTCTCGATAAAATCAACAATTCGTCCTGTGACACCATTCGCCAAGCCATCAGCAACACAAATATTATTCGTAATCATAATTCGTGCGTCCTTCGCTAATCGAAGTGGTGCATGTAAAATTTTACCATATCTGCTTTGACATAATTTAACTTGATTTCCTTTTTTATCTATTTCATAAAATACTTTTATATCATTGCATATCCGATCAAGTATTTCATTATTGTGTTCATCAACATCAATATTTTTCGCGAATAAATGTAATGCTTGTACACTGTATTCTTTATTTAAATAACGTTGGTGACATTTTTCAAGAATATTTCGGTCTTGCTTTATCATTTCTTCTTTCTTTTTCAACTTTCGAATACGATTTAACATCTCTGAAAACGACCCACATTCTTTTTGTCTTTCATTAGTATTCATTTCAGTCATTTCAAAATGATCAATCCATAACATCGAATTGTAAATACTGCATGATCCTACTGGTGGACATTGATAAAAGTCTCCAATAGTTATGATTCCAATATTACCGAAACATACTGTATTCGACTGAATACCCATAATCTGTCCTAATCGTGCATGTATTGCTCCCCATAAATTAACTGGAACAAGTGAAATTTCATCAATGAATAATAATTTCAACGAACCTAATTTACATCGATATGAATTAAGTTTTTCACAAGACAACGATTCTCGCAATCGATCTGACTTGATACTTAAACCAAATGCACTATGAATTGTTACACCTCCAACATTTACAGCTGCTGCACCTGTATAAGCGGTAATCAATGTATGAATTAGATCAATATTCTCATCTGTTTCTAAATGTTTCTTACGTGCAAATATTCTCGTTGCTTCATATTGCAAACATTTTAATAAATGACTTTTACCCGTACCTGCGCCACCTGTGATAAATAATCTCAAAGGTTCAACACTGGAATTATGTAAGCGACGTAGACACCAATTGCGAACATAGTAAAATATTTTTTGTTGTTCTTCGTTCATACATTCCAAAAGTGGTCGCATCTCATCGCTTCCTCTAAACATCTGCTTCAAATTCGTTAAGAAATTCTTTTTTGACTTATATCGAAGCATATCAAAATCCGGATTATTTTCACAAATTATTTCTTCATTGAGTTGTCTATTTTTTTCTGAGTTACAAACAATACTTGCCCATTCATCTTCTTTCCTTTCTGTTGAGAAATCATCAAAAATTGTCTTCAATTCATCAGCCATTTCAAAATGAGCTTCATACTTCTTTCGATTTTCACAAACGATATCTTTCACTTTTCGATTACATTTTGCTCGATTATCATACATTTCTCCTTCTTCATAAAACAATTCGTATGGTTTTTTCAATTCATTGCGATTTCGAATAGGTAAATAGAGAGATAAGAGATTTTCAAAATAGTTTTCAGTATCATTTTCTCGATGAAAATGAGGAAAGCGAATGATAGCTGATTTTCCAACTCGTTTTTTGACAGCAAAGTTAAGAGTCCTCAAATATTTTATTGGTGTTCTTGGATTTTTACTAACTCTTTTTACAGCGAAAATCTCGTAATTCGATGCAAAATCAGCCATACAAATATCGAATTCTTTATCAAATGGACGATCGAAATATTTATCCGCTAGATTACTCATATATATATTTTGATCATTAGGATTTAATTGTTGTAAGGCTTCTCGTGATTTAAGAAATCTACAACTATTCGAATGAGATGGAACAAACACGAATCCTCGACTTGAATAGACTAATGGCATCTTTGCTGCACGATAGATAGCTTCTTGAACGCTTATTTGTCGATGATTAAAAAAAGTACCTGTTAATTTTTTCATCTCTTCACCTCTTCACGAACTGTTAGATTCCCTTCTCGACATTCCTTATGTGTCGCTTCTAAAAGTAAGCTCATTTCTCGTTCTGGCTTTGTCGTGTACGACATTAGATATCTCGCACATGCATACGGATCCAAAATAAATTGTATGTCCATATTTGCATTCCAAGCTCTCAAAAGCTCTTCATTGTATTGATTTATCCAACGTGCATTTGGTTCTCTCTTATGAAATATTTTTGGTCGACTATGAACAGTTGAGAGAAACCATTCGTAATATTCATATGTCCAATTGTATTTATCGAGAATTGTGTCAAAGTCTGTCCAAGTTAAAATCTTGTCTTTTTCAAGGTTATTCAATTCAATATTGGTATCTCGTAACGTTTTTTTCACAATCTTTATCAGTTCAACGTCTTCGTCATTTTTAGGCATATATGGAAATGAAATAAAAGTTCGTCGTGATATAGCACGAAGAAATTCGAAACGGCAGATTGTTCCATGACATATTAAACATGATTTCGAATGATTCCGTGAGTGCCTTTGAAGTTCCTTAACGTAATGGTGCAATTCTCCATCTTCATCAATTGATGGAAACCATGTCGTAATGTACTTATCACAGAATTCTATAATTTTCAATACAGTTTTTTCATCTGTGTTTTTTCCATTGTATTTCGGTGCATTTTTCACCCAAAGTGGCATATGAGCATGTGGTGAACCTCTCATCTGCATTTCAATACGAGCAAACCAATCAATTACTTCTCCTAAACAATATGCACCACCTTTCACAAATTTTTTCATAAACACTTGAAATCGTCGTTCAAACATGCGTGCAGCAATAACTGGATTTTTACGAATAAGATTTGCTTTTTCTAGAAAACTGTAAACTTCTTTTACTTCTTCTCCACTATTTCGAGCAATGACATCAAGAAATTCTTTCCAGCGCATATCGGCACAAGACAATGTTAAGAAGAAAGTCGAAATTCCTAATTGACGATTCATACCGAATAGATCTTTTAAACGTTGGTTCCAATATTGCGGACTACCACGTACTGTTTCAAAATGTCGATAAATCATATCGTTTTTAAGAAGTAGTTTCAATTGATTTTCATCTTTACCTTGACTAGCTGTCATAGGAATCATTTTTCGAAATGCAATATTACTTGACGAATAGGCTTGTTTCAAATCGCTGACATATTGCAAATAAAAAATGTAGCTAGGATCATTTGCAAACCGTAGATCAGACGAGAAAAGTCGTACTTTACAATATTCTTTCCAATAGAGTTTACTTATTCGATCTTCATCAAAAGAACCTTTACCATCTGAAAACAGATGAGGAAAAGCAAGTTTTTCAACATCCTTATCTGTTAATAAAGAGTTAAGTTTATTTGAGTGATGTCATAATATCATTACCCCGGGTATCCGTTTAAAAACAGACAACAGTATACTCAGAAACCGGAGGAATTTGATCGAATTTGGTCGATACCCAGCGGGTAACGAGATAGCAACTCGTCATGGTATCCCTAGCAGGAAGGGCAATGAGAATCTAGAAGGGAATTTAATTCGGTACTTTAAGCCTTAGGTGTTGAGCTAGAGTGAATAAAAGAACCTACCACTCGTCGCCGGATCACTTGTTGGAGTGAAAATTGGAAGAGGCTTTCGTGCACGTACCGACCTTTTCGCCAACACCCTCATGTTGTGATGCGCCTACTGACTACATGCTCACCCTAGATGTAACCAAGAATAGACACATGTGGTTAATTAACTACCATTATCAAGTGTTTGAACGATGTAGTTTAATTTCTTGTTGTGTATCAAAATCGTCCGACTAAATTCACTCAAATTCCTCACATCTGGGGTGACATAGTTTGGTTATCGGGTAATGGGTAACGAGATCGGCTGACGAAGTTAGTTTAGTTATCCTACTGGATATCGAGACGTTCAGCTCTGGATACCCGGGGTAATGATATGGTGACAGCTATGTTCATGATGGTATAACTCTTATGATACAATATCCACCAGTTGGACCAACGAGTCCACCTTGGCGTCAAGCAGCTGCTGGCTTATGTCTGGAAGGAGTTTGTTTAAATGTACAGTGTGAAGCTTTTGAACACAAAGTTATTATGA